TCTCTGTCCGACACTTTTTATTTGTTAATTTGCGGCCGTTTTTCGTATCGATTATATTGTTTTTATTTGAAGCAACGTTTAGATGTAATTCAGTTATAAATTGTTAATACATTACATAAAACAAAGATATTATGAAATATTGTTTGTTTGCATTATTGATAATGTTAATATTTACCTATTAAAACTGTTTTATCATTATGATATATGCAAGTATTAAAATATTTATACCATATTTGTTTAAACAATATATTAATATTTTAACTGCATTATAGACTATAATTTATAGGATAATGACTTTTTTCTCATACGTAAGTTCTTCAATAATTTATCATACATTGTATATAATAAATAAATATGTTTATTTATGCGTAACATAAAAATATTAATAAATATTATATTATTTTTGGATTTATTACTTGCTCGAGAGTTTATTAGTTCGAGAGAGAGAGAGAGAGAGAGAGAGAGAGAGAGAGAATATTATGTCTGTGTTTTAATCATGATCACATAGATTGAAAACAGGTAGAAATACACTTCAGTACACCCGGCATATAACCAATTTGTTGTAATTTATACTTAATCCATTATATAGTTATATAAAGTTTATATGTTAAAAACACCTTGGTGATTTAATAACCACGTTATATTAATAATATCTCCTATTTTATTCTCTCGGGGTTTAACATAGATCTGAAATATGATGTCTAAACAGTGTCTATTAGCGACAACACAAATAATTGCCAATAATAATAGCAAATCAATTTTAGTGCAGCCAGATGTCACTTTGCCCAATATATTTCTCGATCATCATGGACAATCATTTATTTGCGGACCTTTGATCATGATAATTAAAGCATTGCTTGACAAACATAATTTCAAGTAAGATTTATTTTATAAAATGGTGAATAAAAATTTTATAGTAAATGTAATTTATATTTTTACATTTAACATTTGTAGCTTTCGATACATACAGCCCTCGAAAAGTCCATCTAGTTATTACGATCAGCTAAAAACCAACGCACCTGACCTGATGCTCATGGATGCCGATTCAAACACATACCTATACTATAAGCGAGTGGTCAGTCAAATGACCAATGGTTTGGTACACATCACACACAGTAAGACATTGGGCTATAACTCAATGTCGAATATCGCATATCAGGTCCGGCGGGCAAACGATCCCCTCTTTAAATACATTCACTGTTTTACTGCCGATCTCTGGCTAACAGTATTGTTAACGTTAATCGCCGTAACGATTATTATGGCTATAATAGATTGGAATAAAGATTGTGGTAAACTTATTAAATTAATATGGCATAATATAGTCATATTATTAACTAGATCGATACCCAAATATTATTCTCGTGAAATTAATCTAGCTACTAAATGTGTATTAACGCTATGGCTTTGGGTATCAACTTATATATCGCTAATGTTTTGTTGCTTTCTATTGGATTACATGATAACATCAGTACCCGAGCAGCGGATCGACTCGTGGCAGGACCTGTACGATAGGCCGGGCATTAAAATTATGGTATTTAGATTTAACGAGTTAGTCACTTACGCCAATACCCATAGTACCCCGATGGCACGTGACTTTCTCAAACGTATTGAGGTAATTACATTGAAACAAACTGAAAACTTTTGGCAAACATTTGCAAAGCGTATAGAAAGCGGTGAATACGCTTACGTGAATAATCCGTGGAATATGATGACCACGTTTATGATGGCTGGTAATGGATCTAGCTCATTGTCCAAAAAACATCATATATCTCGTGAAGGGGGCGGAGAATTGCCGTATTTTTTAATGGTTAATACAGGAGTTGCCGATTGGTTACTAAAACCATTGAATGTAATGTAAGTGTATTATTTTTTACCATTGTTATTTTAGTTATTCTAAACATTATTTAATTTTGTTACATAGTATAAGTCAATTACTAGAAAGTGGTATTTACAACCATTGGGTACAGGAATTGCCTAAAATGATGGGCGGTTTAATGTTTTACAACGAGTTTAACGCAATAGATATTAAAGAGTGGGAGGCGTTGACTGTCCGGCACTCATCCGACGCCTTATATTTGTTAATTTGCGGACATTTTCTATCGATTGTCATTGTTTTCATTGAATTAAAATTTAGATGTAAATGATTTATTAATCGTTTATAAATTATGCATTTTTAATGGCTATTTTATTTGGAAATATTGTAATAATAATACGATTAATAAATATGTTACTGGTTGTTTGTATGATTAAATATACTAGTACAATATTTCTATTAAAACATTTTAATAACTGTGTAATAAAATGACAAGTTTAGTTAAGATTTATAACATTTCAATTAATAAAAATAAATTAAATTTTATATTTAAATAATAATTTTACATCAGATCAATGTTTGTTTGATTTTAAATGTTGTGTTAATTCAAATGTTGTAACAAACTGCTGATTACAGTTATTATGAATACATTTATGGCTTTTTATATTTAGATGTCTTTTTATATGTAATGTTAAATCACTATTTGTGCGAAAACTTTTGTTACATTCATTAAAATTACAAACAAATGGTTTTTCTCCCGAATGAATGCGTTTGTGTTGAATTAGACTCTGTTTTGTTGTAAATTCTTTGTCACAATATTTTTCATTACATTTGAATTTTCTTTCATTCAAATGAATACTACTTTTGTGTTGAATTAAAGCAGATTTTTGTGTAAAACTTTTGTAGCATTCATTGAAATTACAAACAAATAGTTTTTCTCCCGAATGAATGCGTTTGTGTTGAATTAGACTCTGTTTTGTTGTAAATTTTTTGTCACAATTTTCTTCATTACATTTAAATTTTTTTTCATTCATATGAATACAACTTTTGTGTTGAAATAAATTTGTTTTAGTTGTAAAACTTTTGTGGCATTCATTAAAATCACAAATAAATCTCACATTTAAATGAATGCTATTTTTGTGTCGAATTAAATCTCTCTTTTCTGCATAACTTTTATTACAATTATTAAAATCACATTTAAATTGTCTGATATCTAAATGAATAAATTGATGCCTATTTAAATCATTTGTCTTTCTTGTCTTATATTGACATTTAGGCCAAAAATGCACTCCATTTTAATTGAGTACTTGTTTTGCATTTGATTTGTATTGTATTCGTTACGAATTGCT